TACAGGTTACATTGTAATGTTTTATTACTTCTTCATTAGGCAATGCTTTACAGCTGTATAAATAACTTGCTTAATCAAGGAAAGTGATGATAAAGAATACTGTGAAATCTTATTTCCACTCTATTAGACTGATCAAAAGGTTGTTCATAATCACATTTGTCGTAAAGATAAATTAAAAATTTACTGTAACTAAGTCATTCCCAAGGCCTTGCCCCTAGGTAAAACTGAGTATGTGTGTTTTTTGGCTCAAAATTTGTAAATGACTAATTTTTTAACGTTTGAAAAAAATGAAATTGACTTGACTTGACTCACAACAATCTGGTAAAAGAAATATATCTGATTCGTATTATGCTGAATATGGAATTGGTCGAATTTAATTTTAAGAGTAATTAGGAGTATATAATATTTAGTAACTTCCTATTTTCAGACGAATGCATTTGTTTCTGTATGACATGATACAGTTTATTTCACGGCAGCTCAAGATTTTTCTGCCAGACGGAACAAAGTGAAGTAGTCGGGATCGGCTGGGGGGCCATGATAACTGTAGAAATGAGATATTGCTGCAAAAGAAATTTATCTTTCCACGCGCAATTTCAAAACATTTCTTTGTCGCAAAATTTCATAGGAGGACAATCGTCGTCTATTGCACGCTACACAAAGAACAAATTAGAAATACAATGTAACTAAATCATTTAAAACAACCTGGTAAGACAAATTAACGACCATGCATAAAAAAATTGTCGGTCTATATTTTCTGTTATATCTGGAGGCCATACGCAAATATTCGTTAAAAGCAGGGCACAAAACGCACAAAGATTCGTTCCAATATTGGCCAGAATCTCGGCCATTGTCTCCAATACAACCTATACAGAAAGAACAAATTAGAAATATATTGCAACTAAGTCATTTACAATAATTTGGTGTAACAAATCGGCCTTACAGGAAAATTGATGATCGATACATTTACTTATATGTGATTTGATATCATGCTTTTATGAGCATCAGTATATCCCTGTAAGTGTAATAGGTCCAACTTTAGTTGATACTGATCAATGGCATACAATACAGTATACCGTATTTTACGGACCATAAGGCCGTATTATAAGGCCCACTGTAAATAATTTTCTTAAATTGCGTTTTATTCATACATAAGGCGTAATGGCCATGTAAACATCAATGGGTTTTAGGTGTAGGCAATAAAGCACTACCTGATCTATACAATAGGCGCATTGTCCTCTAAGGCGCACTATCGTTTTGTGGGGGGAAAAAGGTTCAAAGTGCTTCTTATGGTCCGTACAATTCAGCACTGTAAATAAATCGTTCACAATAATCTGGAAAGAAAATATCGGCCATGCAGAAAATCTGGTAGTCGATATTTTCAGTCATATCTGATTGATATGTTGGTGAATATTGAATTATTGAAACGAGGTAACTCCCATTTTTCATACATATGCCAATTTGTTAGACTGAGATTGAAAATGCAACAGCCAAATCCGAGTTTGAACATAAATGATGTCTTCAAAGTACAAGACAAAACATCCGTCTTTTGCATAAATCTTTATGTTGAGATTTCATGTGATCGTGATTGCAGCACTTAAAAACTAACGTTGGAACTTATGTAGAAAGCCGTGAAAATGTAAATTTTGACTACCGGTAACCAATTCCGTATACCTGATCCAGCAACATAGACATTGCAGCAGTCTACAGCAAGAGTGATACAACAAATTTCTTCATCAGGACTTGGAACTGCCTAATGTAAATTAGAGAGAGAATAATGAAAGAGGGACGTATAGTGTCGCAAGTAAAGAGTTATCGTTTCAACCTGTGGTGACATCAAAATTTTAAGTACGGTTCTACTTCGCTAAAAACAGGTTCTCAAGAATTAGCAGCAGATCACTGGTTTCTGAAAATGGCCCGAATAAAAACTTATATGGGGTTTTTACAACCAGAAAAAATCTAATATTCCATAAACGCAACAGCAATTTTGCAATCTGTCTCGCAATCGCGTAGGATTCAAGGTCCACGACAAAAAGAAAAATGTGGCCAACATATGCGTTGAAATTATTTGTAACCGAATTTCTTAGCTGAGGAAATGAAATCGGATTCTGATATCCCAATTTCTCCGATTTGAACAAGTTTTATTTTTTGCCAAGATGTTTGAGCGATGGCATATTTGTTAAAGCGTCATAGTATAGCACATAGAAATGATTTTCTATCTTCACCGATATTAAACAAACGGTTCGAATAGTACTAATTTCGGTCCTGGAATCTCAACAAAGCGAATTTCCTATTTCATTTTCCAAAATATTCATAATTTGCAGCTTCTCTTGCAAAATTTCAGCGCGAGTCTGTCTAGCAAGCTAGAACAATAGAATTCGCGGAATGAGAATTCACATCAAATTTTCAAAAATGTTTTGTTAGGGTACATGTTTTATATTCCTTTTGGGAATTCGAGAGTAAAGTTGAAATGTTCCGCAGGCAGAGCATTGAAAGCTATAACAATCATCACGTACGTAGGACCGCTATATACAGCCTTCATAACCACCCATTGAGTAACCAGTAATGGAAAACGAGTTATTTTACTTGATAATTTTTTATTTATTCCATTAAACTAAATGCACATTCTCGCGTCTGCCATTGATTAACTGTAAAGTGAGCCAAACATATACATTTAAATAATTGCCCAGTTTAATGTTTTCGATCAGGGGTTCCCAAACTGGGTACGTGTACCCCCAGAGGTACATTTCGGTTTTCAAAAGATTCGATTTCCAAAGATTCAGAATAGTATATGGATATAATCCATAACTTTCAGTTTAGTTAATTGCAGGTATTATTCTCATGTTTTATAAAACATGCGAGTATCAAATATGTTTAATTGACACAACTTGGCTGTCTATTCCGACAAATAATCTGGCATCCGTGAGTTCCGACTCGGGTAGCTCTTAGTTCTCTTCGTTCTGTGTTTTTAGTTAGCGCACGCACCTCTGTCGTTAAAGCCTAAGTAGTTAAACTAGTGTTTTTCAATATGATTGAGCCGTCTTATCGGCTTCCCTTTAACCGGGATAAACATCTAAATTTTATGCTAAATCCTATCAATCATAACATTTCCAGGGATATCAATTATGGAAGACCAAAAATACAGGCAGAGAATTTCAGCTGGCAGGCCTGGAAGATTACACACACGAACAGTTATTTTTCATTGCTAACGCACAAGTACAATTGACTTTTGACTTCAGGATTAACTTTCCAAAATGATACTTCGTTCCATTCAGTGACACTTTGGTTGAATAAACTCTTTTTTAGAGCATTCATTTAAGCAAGTATCGTATAAGTATGATTGTTATTGGGGGACTTATTTCGGCTTACTGCATTTTCCATTGTTATATTTGTTGATAATACTACAGGGATTTCCTTGTTCCGTGAACTGGGTATGACCTAAAAATTAGTTTGAAGTTATTATATGTAATATTTATATTACAAGTCTTCAAAATTTAGTTTTTTCTTTCTCTTACTTGATTTAAAAATTTGCAGAAAAACTAACAAATTGGAATATGTGAAAAAAAAATTTTTGCACCCTTGCTGTATTTATTTTGATGTTCAATTGAAACGCCGTGAATAAAGAATTCAAGCTATCGTTTTTTTCCTATATTTATCTACTTGTGATGCGAGTCAGACAGGCCAGAATTTGCAAAGAGAATATTAGCTGTTTTCCCTCATAGCCATGGTATATTCAGGTACACCATTTTTTTTATTTTTTCATTTACTGTCATTGACATGGTTAAAAATTTAATTATAGTCTCGATTCGTATTCACAATTTTAACCCAACTATAAACTCTAGAATTTGAATTGACTAGAATTTGATTTCGGCACACCACGTCATATCAATTACAATCGTAATGATTCTACATTGTGATTCTGATTGTAATATGTTAGAAGTGATGGAAAAAATATCCATATACTAATGTTCGATTCACTTCACAGTTAATCAATAGAAAACGTAAGAATGTGCATTTGGTTCAATAAAATAAATAATAAATTAGTAGAGTAAAGAAGTAAAATTAAAGTAGAGTAACTGGTTCGCTTTTACCGGTTCCTCAAAAAATGGTGGTGAAGGCTATCTATGTTCCGTGGGAATGATCGTCATAGCTTTTTGTGCTTTGCCTGCAAAACAATTTCACTTTACTATCAAATGCTTGAAGAAATATAAAACGTGTGGGATAACATATTTAAAAATTTGATGCCTTCACGACTGTGTTAATATTCTTGCCCATACTTGATTCTTGTACATCTAAATTACCAATCTAGCAACCTTAATTTTTCTTTACCATACGAAATGAATTACGCGGTCAGCCTTATTTTAATTTTATTTGAACCCAAAAAGAACATTCCTCAGGTGCGCAGCCATTTTCTATAATATAGTACAATTCTTTATTTTGCATGTTTATATTGGACATGGAATGATGGACTCCTTAAATGTTTTCAGCACATTACCTATGACGCCGCGAAACCCTGTGTGTGTTACTTGTAAATGGTAAATGCCTATGTTCATAAACTCTGAATCTTACGCTCGTGAGTCACATTTTCACTGGATTTCTCCTGGACTGAACTAACATTTATATATTTTATAGTTTATTAATAATAGAACAAAAAACTTTGATCATTTCCAAAGTTGTTCTGAATAAAAAAAAACTTCTGTAAGTGTACGCGATTCAAAGAACCTTGTTGAACTCGCATTTCTAACTAAATTCGGACTTTTTCAGACAAGCGTCATTATACACATACGAAACTACTAGCACAGAAGCATAGACGATGTAGTCAGACTAACTAACTTAACCCCAACAGAAAGGCTACACTGTTTTATACAACAGACTGGATAATATCATCAGAGCTCTCCAGTGTTCCCCTTTGGAGCAAAGATTCAGAAGACTTTTACAGTGAAATCTATAATAGTGTATAAGTACATGTGACTAGGCCATATATTCAACAAAAATATTCCTAGACATTTTATTGGGTCAAGTCTACCGGATGCATTCTTCCGACTCGGTTCCATACCACCATTGGTTGAGATCTGCAACTACTTTCGAAGTTGTTATGTGTTCCTTGTTACGCAATTTTCTGCAAAGATGATAAAGACCAAAGCGCTTCCATTCCAATTCCATCATCCCCCTCTGTATGACATCTTCGCCTTTCCAAAATTGAAACCAGTTTGAAGAATTGCTATTTATATGTTGTGGTCCAAAATTGAAGCCATATCTTGGTATGATGTGAGTTCCTGGTTCTTTCCACCAATTAAAATATTCTAGATACGCCGTGTCATTAGAATCTAAGTATTTCAAATATTCAGCCAATTTATTCAGATTTTCAAAATCTTCTAAATGGATAAAAGATCGTTTTGGCAATATTGCCGAGACATCTTCTCGTGTAGGGCCATTTATAACAGGAACAATACCGCCAACGATTGCATTATAAAAAGTTTTCTCAGTTATGTAGTCTCTACAATGTAAAGAATTCTCAAACGACAAGTAAAATTTATATTTCTTTATAGTTTCGAGTAGTACGTTTGCATCATTTGCAATAGGGCGGTTGGCGCATTTTCCGTATCTATCCACATCCAGAAGACCTGCAAAAATATAACTGAAATTAGATTCTAGAAAACAGAACACTAATATATATTCATAAATATTAGCCTTTCACGAATGAAAGGGTTCGAACCAATTAACATGATATCATCTCGTTTCAAATTAAAAAAAAATGTTTTAAATATAAAAAAATTTTGCGAAATGATAATGATTTTCAAATTTTTTCGTTACCTTTTCGTTTTTAATTTCGTATCTATTTTTATTCTATTACGTGTAGTTGAGAACTATCTATGTCTTTAATTAACTATGTCTTGCATCTACAAAGTAACTTCTTAGCGTTAGGTATAGTCGTTTCTCAGATATCTAATGTTATTGTCTCTCAAAATTACAGAATCTATTGATATTATTGTTGAAAAGTCAATGTGATATGTTAAGAATCCTCCATGCTGATTAATTCCCTTGAAGTTAATTTTTAACAATCACAATTTAATTTAGACTTGAATTTATGATATACCGTATTTCCTGGCGAATAAGTCTACCCGGTAAATAAGACGAGGCCCGTTTCTGAGCCTGAAAAAATGGGTTTTCGCCTATAACCTGTCAATAAGTCGGGGTAGCAAAATTCCATCAAGATCGGAATCTCAAATTACCATGCAATGCTTTTTGAGCGCTCGCCGCGTTTGCGCTTTAGTTAAAATAGCCTATAATGACATTTTCTTGTAGTGTAATATTCAATCCATCATAACTACGGGAATTCAAACTGTCTTCAAATTTTAATCTAATTGTGTTCAACTCGCGACTGCGTCCACCATAAAAGAACATTACCTAATACATAATAAGGCGACACCAATAAAATGAAAATTATCTAACTCGTCCAATAAGACGACCAACATCCCCCCCTGCCATTTTTGCTAATATTTGTTACATACATACTAGCATGAACCTAACTTGTACCAAGTTTTTCTGCAGAATACCAAACTAAAGTTTATTCAAATGCGAATGCGCGTGCTTAAAATATATCTTTGCGAATATTCGATTTATTACTAGATTTAAATTTTCGTTTGGCTCTAGTAATTTTATTTGTGACAAGAAAAATTTTTAATATCAAACATTATCACAATCTCGGCTCCATCACACAAATTTGTAATCAGAATTTTTTCGTTTCCCTTATTATGCGTTGAAGAATTTCAGGAAAGTTATATTTAAAAATGCTTTAGATAGGTCTTTTGACCAGCGATAAAACATTGTGCTTATAGATCATTGAAAACACGTTCAGCACTTAAATTCCCTTTCCTACAAATTTAAAGAGTATATTCAAAACCGCATATATATCAATGCTTAAAACGAGAAGACACAACATGACAATGCAATTGGAACTGTGGCTATTATATTAAAAGCAAGCTGCTCACCATCCTTTGTCATCTCCTCAACTAATTGCATTCTTTTTGCTGCTCCTGCGACGACTTTGCAATCGCTGACAACCCATGAAATCATTTTTGTTTTTTTCGACATTAACAAACCGATCTCTTCACGAAATCTATCTTCTGACATTGTTGGACGTTCAAGGAGTTCAGCCTCTGTCATCTCATTTCGTCTGTTTAACGCAACGATAGCATATAATTTCTACTATAATAAAGTTTGAATTCATCTAACGTGTCTGCGCAGGGGTGACAATAATTTTAGGCTATATAATTCGTCAAAGGAAGTATAAAATGAACGTGAAATGAATTTTTATATTCATACACACTTTTAAAACAATTTAGTACATCTATTTTGTCCAGCCGAAATTAGCACATTTATAAAAAAAAAATAGTTAGGAAGGATTGGATTCACATATGACGTAAAACTGGGAGTAAAGGCAGTAAATCTTTCTTCGAGAAGATATAGTATGCTGGTGCTTATTAAGAATGATGGACTAGGCCGCAATGGTTCCCAACCTTTCTACCCTGGCGGACCGGTAAAAATAAATAAAATGTACACGCGGACCGGCAAAATTGAATGTGTGGAACAGGAAATAATAACATTTATTTGCGTGATGTCGGGCAATTACTATGCTTTTAGAAAAAAAAAAGATACACTTAAAAACATTTCACATGAGGAAAAATTATCAAATAATGGGCCGGCCAATAATTGAAATGGGTGAAACATAAAATAACAACACATATTTGCGTAACAAAATGCAGTGCTGCGTTATGCGTAAAAAAGGCACACATCTCACATAAAAAAACATGTACATGCCAAATCATGTACTACAAACCCAATTGACTCCAGTGAGAATTTTGCTACTGTTTCGTTTTCAATACGGGATTGCAAACGATGCATCAAAAAAAGGATTTGCACGCGTAGCTCTGCATCGACCCGCAGTCAATTTATTCGCTTCGTTTTAATTAATGCTAAAAGTAACTGGTTGGAAATTCGAACAACTGTTTGGTTGCTCGATTACTCAGCGATGGGTATTCGTTATCAAGAGAGCTCAAGAATGAATTGTGACAATGATTCTTTTATAAATCTGGACTGTGAAGTAAAGGTGTCGTCGGGTTCTTCATATCAATCCCTCTGCAGCTGATCGACGCCCCAAACAAAATGAACTTGTATTACAATGATAAAGTCGTTCCTAACTTAGCACCAGGCTAAAAATTCTGCTGTGCATCACCCGGAATATATCCCAGCGGGCCCCGGTTTCGTTACGCTTTTCGTGACCACCTGCAGGGTCGCAACAAATTCATATCTCACTGGGTGTCACGGTGAAGCTCTGGAATATTCTACTGTTCTTGACAGTTTTCTGGCCTAAACAAGGAAATATTCATAACCTTTTATTTGGAGCATGCAGAACGGAAAAATCACGCATGCTGATTTCCAGTTTTCTGAATCTTGCGAGGTTTGACGGAGCGCTGTCGCGATGAATCGAAACCGAAAAACCCAAAAGTGTGATTACTCGGCGCTAAGACGTCGCCGGGCCATCCCGCACGCATCAAACAGCAATATGACGACAGAAGAGAAATTGCGTAATAAACCAACGTAACTTCGTCTTTTCGGCTTCGGTAAAGCGATTGAGACGGTAGAAAAACAACAAAATGAAATTCCCCGCGGACCGGCAAAAATGCTTCGCGGACCGGCACCGGACCAGCGTTTGGGAACCACTGGACTAGGGTATAACAGATAGAAAATCATCAAATCAGATTGTCCTGCAAGATGAAAACACCTTCTCAGAAGCACTTTGATCACTGAACCGTCAGAAATTAAAAAAGTTTAATACACACTGCCCATTAAGATAAATCATTCCAGTACCACCGAAGTGAGCGGCCACATTGCGCCTAAAAGCCATTGTAAAATACGCATAATTCAAAGTATACTCATTTCAAAATAATTGGTTATCTGATGTGCCAATAATTTGTTATTCTATACAATAGCTCGTCATGAATTTAAATTGCGAGCTTTTCCCTGTTTTTTGAAGAAAATACTTATTGATATTATATTTTTCGTACGAAAAAGGATCGTTTAACCGTACCTGCCAAATTTATAAAGAAAATAATCCAAACTTGGAGTAGGTGCAAACGAGGCCAGAACATCTGAATCACGTCGGTATGTCATTGTCCAATTAAAATAATCATTGAAATCTTTCAGTTCATAATGATAATAATGTAGAACAGTCCATGGCGACTCGTGAGCCCACCATACAAACGCTTGATTTGGAGACCTGAATTGTAATGATTTATGGTGACAATTATACAATGAAATGACAATGGGGTGAGGCGGCGTGATGGGTCTAACTGGATACAAACTGTAAATTCCAGTATTGAAATGTATTTTCAAGAAATAAAATAATAAATATAAATTCGAATATTTGAAATATATTTTGTATAATGTACCTTTTGGTAGGGTCCGGCAAGTCATTAGATACACAAGATTTCATGAAAAACAAAACTGCTTCGCTTCTCTCATATTCACTGCGATTCACCGTAATATCGCATCCTCCATTTTCACCAGGTAGATCAGGTAAATACCACTCGATTTCACGGTATGGTTTTGACCATATAAGAATTTTTGGTCTGTGATTTTCTTTCGTATTCGGTGTGTCATTTTTGGTCCAGATTTTGTTGAATTGTGAATCTTCAATTGATACTGTCGTAGAACACAAGATAGTTAAACGAAAAATGTTTTAGTTATGTTTAAATAAATTGAGCCTAGTATAACCGAGACAAACTCAAACGCAGCATTCATAATTGAATTCCATGACGATTTGTTGTGTGTGCAGCGTTGTACTACTATAGACACAGCCGCCAGCTGAATGATACACTTCTAATATGTGTACAATGTCTGAAGCAGGTAATAACAATTCAGAAATGTTTTCAATATAAACCTTATTTGGAAAATGATGCAATACTTATACATTATGTTCAATAATAATACCGTTTTGGCAATAAACCAGTAGCCAGTTGCGTGCTTACAATCTATTTGTGGAAATGATCATCCATCGGATGAAACGGCATATTTATCTAAATAATCGTATGAACTCTTTGAACTGAAACGATCCCCTTCAATATCAAAAAACGAGTGTATTCACTTATCTCCCCCGCCCGAACTACTCAAACACAGATTTTGGAAGCTCATGAAGATTATTCATAATATACGTAATCAAGCAAAATGGCGGACTACAACAGCAGGTAATTAAATGAATAGTTGAAATTTGTAGTTTTGAATGGATACGCATCCATCGCTCAGCATCAAGCAACCTTTCAATCATAACAAAGGAAGAAAATTATTGTCGCATGTCATCTTGTCCGAATATATATTATTTTTATCCCCCTTCTCTCTCTCTCTCTCATTTATAATAAAAAATGAGTTTTTTGTTATTCAAGCGAGAAATTTTATTTTTTAAGAACGATAGTAAATGAACCCGGCAGCCCTAAATATTCAGTGAACCCAAATATAGCTACTATCAAATATGGTGGCATTCGACTATGCATTCTAGAAATTACGAAAGTGGGGACAGAATAGCGGTGATTGTGCGGACCTGTTGTGTTTCAAGCTTAAATTATAGTTAATCCAACTCCGAAATCTGAGACGGAAGCATGTTAATAATCTGTAACACTGTTTATATATTTGTGATATATTATGTTCATGTGTATTTTGTTATGATTATATCATATTAACATAAGAAATGATTTACCAAACGCCGTGAGATGTAAATTTAAGAAACAGTTGTATTCGACGAGAACTACTTCTATGAGATTATCTGCGGGAAAAGAAGATGTATTGCGCAAAAAGTTTAAGAAAATAGATGGATGATATAAACATAAAAAATACGATACCACTTACCTTTTGTTTCAATATTTTTGTCAGTATGAGAAACCCAAAGAGCGTTGCGAACTCGATAGAAAAAAACAACGACACATAAAATAGCAAATACGTATGAAATACGTAACCTCATTTCTTTACCTTACAGGTAGAATGTTTTTTTTCTCTTTCTAATGAAACGAAATTTTGCGTTAACAGAGAGAAATGAAATTATTTATTTGATCACCAGTTTGAGTTACGCATCAGGCAATCTAAATTTTTTTTTTGTAAACATATAATTGTAACCCATGCCGTCGGTACCAGGCCGCTAAATTTCTCTCAACCTACCACCCGGTCGGAAACACTGTGATATGACAAATAAAAATCACTATCTAATTGCCTGCTGCTCTCTGTATGTATTTAAACTAGATCATTGAGTTGAAATGAAGCCCCAGAAAATACTATATAATCGTGTGTTTAATACACAATCTTATGCATTGTTATAGCACAGTTCCATCTCTTACAAGAAGGCCATGTATTAAAATGTGGGAAAAATTGCAGGACAGAAGAAAAACTCAGTAAAGAATTATAGTCAAGGAAATACTCAACTCAACCCACTCAAAATAAAGTCATAAAAAAGTATACTGTAACCCCTAAACCAAAAACATTCCTGTCGTTTCCTTTCATATTTAGTCTTTTGCGGGCGAATCAGGACATTTCGAGCGCGACCAAATCGGAACGTTGCCACACCCTCTTACAGCGAAGTTAATAACTGTTTGTAAATAATGACGCCGCGACTAGTACTATATCATATATGGAAATCAATTATAAAAATAAAATTTGGCAAGTTCGAAAAGCGTACGAAAATAAAGTAATCCGAGGCAGTTTCTTTACGAGGCTTTTTAAAGTAGAACACCATGACCAACACGCCTCCTCGGCATTGGAATGAGGTTGACCAAATCAAGCTTTATTCAAGCATTTACGTCAGTGACAAAAGAAGGTAACGACTGAATCTCGTAGCTGGGATGTAGATAAATTTGAGCTTAATCTACGTTCCCAACGTTTTGAAATCGTTGGTTATATTTTCCCCATGAATCAATTCGCGACCGAGGATTGGCTTCAGTACAACTAGGGTTACCATATCGTGCTTATTTCTAAGATTTGTGCTTATTTTCTAGACCGCGTCTTATAAAGTAACGATGTGCTTAATTTTGAGTTGCGTGCTTATTTTGTCTTGGAACCTTGGATGACTCGCTCATGTTTAGCGTACAACGCCTGCGCGGAAACGAGGGACGATTTTTAATAGTACCATTGAGGTTATATACACATCAATAAGAATTATTAGACGCAACGCGCATGTACGCTTCGCAGCGTTAATATTGTGAGGTGTCAATTCCCCACTTTCCAATGTGACCTCATGTCTCGGTCTCGCGTTTAAGGTGTTCGTGGGACGGGTATTTTCTCTTGTATCAGCGCAATAGACCAATGAAACAAACCGTCTAAGCCAGGGGTGCGCAATTACTTTCCTGAGTGTGCCGGTTCCAGATATCAAACTTGCTTACTGGGCCGGAGGCTCAATAATAAATAACTATGAATAAAACAGGTTATTCAAACTAGTGGAAAAGACCGTGTACAACAAACATATATTATATAAATGATTAATAGGTCTGATGTAGCCTAGAGCCGAGGTCCCAAACTTTTTTCGCGAACCCAATTTACATTAAATGAAAGCCTACAGATACTCGCGACCCCACAGCTAGAAACGTTCAGCAACTAAAAATCAATATATTCAATTAAATTATCTCACTGTGGACTATGTGCCTGTATATCCACTGCAAGTGGATGCATACGATGAACATTGGTACCAAAATATATTTGGACGAGTTCGACAGTGCACATGTAAAAGTCTCTGAATATCAAAATTACAACGGTTCTTTGGTGAAACATAAGCCGACCTAATAAAACGTGGTAGATTGTAAGGAAGCGTGCGATACTTCGGGAATAGTAAGACTGCTTTTAAATATACATAACTTTGAAATCTTATTTGGTATATTCCAACAGAACTTCTTTTATTTTTAGTTCAATGTTAACATATTACAGATTGCTTTATTATTAATTCGAAAGTAGAACGGAGCATGAAAGTAAAATAGGAAATAAAACGTGAACGGGATCACAGTCTGGTACCCTTTTGTTTGACATCCGTGCCTATTTTTGAATCTAAGTAGATGGTAACCCTGAAACCTATGCTATCCTTCTCGCGGCATCCTATACTCGACTACATTTGATGTGTTGTATCTCCGAATAAACTTGAATTTGTTCATGATTATGACAAACTCAATTATCTACATGTTGACGGACTGTCAAGCGAGTGTTCGAGCGTACCTAATTACCTACACGTACCTATGTACCACCATCAAGACCACACATACTGGCTAAGATTTGACACGTCGTATCATTCCACCACAATGGCGATCGCCTCAAATTTCACATTACAAGTTCTTCACCTCGGAGGCTTTACTAATTAGTACGAAGAGCCGATTGAATGCAATTACACCAGTACAGTTTATTTTATGACACCACATTTATAAAAATGTATATATCATTGAGAAGCTTGCTGCTGTAAAAATCATGAGTTGCGATTTGAATGTCGGAACAGTACTTATTTGTAAATTCGGTTGAGAGTGTAGTGCGATATCGAGGAATACATTTAATGGTATATTCGTATTTGTTGCTATATCTTTCTAGCGTTTATATTATTACCAAATGAATTATAATTTTATCGCTACATTAAAATTGCAGATGTGATGGAATCCTTTTTGGACCGTGTAATCAGGCTCCATGAAATAACAAATAATGGTGTCTAAAATCAGCCACGCTTTTATAACTTCACTCCGACTACCTGGCATAAGTCTTTAGATCATTCAGCTTGTAGCATTCCAGTTGAAAATTGTGTTTTGGGGTGACTTTTTTGGATCCAATTTGGTTTTCACTACGTATATACGTATTACGATTCAAGTTTAATTTATTATTTTCTCCTTGGAACAATTCACAAATTGAATAAATTTTTATCACAGTCTGACTGCTACAAAAAAAAAATGACAAAAAAAGACAAGACGGGTAAAAATAGAAGAATTTATGAAAACGTAACGTTCGGGGTGCAAGAAAAATAAATAAAAAAATCCATTTATGCATTATGCATGTTGTGTATGATTCTAGGATTAACAAGGGGCTTTATCAAATTTTAAAGATGGTGAGATATATGATACCTATGTGTCAAAGAAAATCCTACATTATCGTCAAAATACCAGTTGTATAAATCGCATTAATTTGAATATGTTGAATGTCAGCAACGCTGGCTCACAAAACTCAAATAAAAATATGAACATTTCTAGCGTGCATTGTGGGTAGGTAGAGGACGTATAATTTGTGGCTGTATATTTTCAATCTGGATTTATTTAATTCTAATTTTTTGCCTATGGTAGGCGGAGCAGAATTTAATAATAGTTGTGTGCTTTTTGGTAATTTTTCATTTTCATCTGAAAAATTAAACTGATCAAATTTGTGTGAGCGGGATCGTGATTTTCAAGTTCTCAAGTTTAAACTCATACACAACGTATCCCTCTAAAAACCAGTGATCTAATTTTCAATGTGTGCTTCGAACAAATTAATAGTTTTTATTTAGGGAATAGCATTTTGCAGCAATATTTATAACGCATTTTGCAAATTTTTAACTGCTATATTTCGTAATATATGCTTTATTTCCGTTGTTGTTTTTTTATTTACTTCATTTTCTATGCAACTTGCGTGGTTCGCACGTCTTTTCGAAGGAAAGTGCGAAATGGTTGGTGACGTAAAACGAAGTGTGCGACGTATATATTTAACTCGTGTGTTTTTGTTTTCTGCAGTTTTGGCTCCTTGATCAATTCCGTACGGGCAGGTATTTGATTGATGATGCGTCTCCACATAACAAAGTTGTCAGTATTTGACTGAAAAACTCGAAACAGCAATCTAAATGGGTCATAATAAAAGAAATTTGCAGAGATACTAGGCGAGGCACCGGTGTGAGTACGATAAATAAAAAAAGACAAAAATTCAATATTACCCTGATATTGCCTTCTGGTTTCATGTAGCGAATGCATATTTCATCATAATGGAATTTGATCGTTTCAATGGTCATTATTCGTCGGAGAAATAGCTGCTATATAGAAATACAGATTTAATATTATATACGTAGCTTCAGGAGCTATCATAGACCGCCTAGTTTAGTATTTTCATTCCCACCAGGTTGAGGTTGGGAATGGCCTCTACAAGGGTAACATTTACAGTGAGACAAACAGAATATTTTATTAGACATGTCAGTGGACATAACGATCGTTTTGCATTATTTATGGACACCTAGTGGAAAACCTAAGAAGTCGCTTTTTTCTTTGATTACAGACCAATTTCTTCAAAATTTTCAGTGGATAAAGATGAATTTTTTTTCTAGAAGGGCATTACTTTTATTTATTTTAAATATTCCTGATAGCACTGTGGGATTCGTTTTTTTGGCACGTAATGGATTTGTTTTTATGCTGGCACGCTTCTTTTTGTTTGTTTGATCACGTGCTCATCGAAAGTCGGTGGTGTGTAACGAAATTCTTGCTCTGCTATGGCGAGCAGCGCCGTAGGTACCGGTAGCGTCAAAGTAAGAACTGCTTCGCTCTGATGGACGTGTCCATATATTTTAGCATTGCTCTCTTGTTTTTCATTTAATTTGTTCGGACGCACCTGTGGATACATTGATTTGATTTATTTCTCATATCGCTGGGGTTTAAGAAAATGATTTATTCTATTTATTCATTATAGCAACGTTTTTCAGGTTACTTCAAGTATAAATACTTTTTCAATATTCGTTTCATCCCTTGGGCATGTTTGGTGTATAAAATTAGGTTGTTCCACAATTATATCTTATAAGCAATAATGTATTATTTCGTTAAGTTTGCTTTCAGAATTTTCATTTTTATTGGTAGCATTAGTTAATTAATGTAACTAAGTAACGAAGTGACATTATACAAAAAAGCATGCTGATCTACAGAAGATGATAAATCAAATTGTGAGAAAACCATTGTGGATTATCAATATTGCTATTTTCATAATCCTGACATCCCTTAGATTAACAGAAAGTGGAGTGACGAAAACTGGAATATTACGTGAGATTCTTGAATAAAATACGTTATTACGATATGTAGATATTGTTTGTCTTATTCTGATTGCTTCAGTCAACATTTCAGTTTATCCATTGTATTTATTAATGATATAATTTTACTTAAAATGGAAATAAGTAATACTTTGGATCCAAATTTACTTATATAACTAATCTTAGTTTACTTGTACCCTTAGCTGGCGGTGAAGTGCTTAGATGCGTGGG